CCTGTCTGATCCGCTCTTGCCTCCACCTTGCCCCATTCTCCCATCTGTCCTCCGCCACATCCTTGTCTCTCTTGTCCAAGTTCCACACGTGGCCCCTACGCCTCGCCAGCGATAATGGATCTAATGGCAAGCACACGAGAACGATGGCATGCTGCAGCTCAGTACCAGGAGATAAGACAGCTGGTTGGCCACCATCCTGTTCCCTTTGGTTGGCACCTTGGACTTGCAGACTTGTGGAGCAGCACCTCTGACATGGACATCAAGATCAGTCTGCGACCTGCTATCCGGATCAGACCTCATCATCAGATCGTGTACCGGACGCAACCTGCTACTGCGACAATCAAGCTGAAGTCTTCGCCGTCTACATCACAGAACTGCTGAAGACTGTTTCCTCACCACCACTTCTGCGACACCCTCCAAGACCTTCCTCAAGACATTTTTTTCGCTTTTGACACTTTGTTACAGACCTGAGACGTTGTTTTCCCAGACCCCTCAGACACCCCAGCACTTGAGCATTGAACAAACAATTTTTTATTTTATTTTATTTTTTTCCCTCAAACCTGACAACCTACAACCTTGTAGGACACCAATAGGACCTCCCTGTTACCTGTAGAACCTCAGTAAGATTACCCTGTTACTTGAGCATTGATTCCCTCATCCCTGTAGAACCTCAATAGGATTACACTGTTACTTGAACATTGATTCCCTCATCCCTGTAGAACCCCCATAGGATTACCCTGCTACTTGCATTACTTCCCCTTTCCTTTTCTGACCAGTGATCGGCCCCGTCCCGTCCTCCACAGTTGTTCATTGGGGTTTTGGCAGCCAGGACGTTGCCTTCCAGAGGGAGGGGATAGTGTTACGGACCCAGCCAGGGCTCGATCCCTGGTCCACGGGTTACCACCCGCCAGGCTGCTATTCTATTTTTTTGGGAGTCTCTGATCTCCAGTTCCTGACTGTTGGCACCCTCTGCAGTTGGCGCCCGTTCTCAAATCCCGCCTCTGCCACTTTCGGATTTCGTACTTGGCGCCATCCGGCATTCTGGCGCCCAGGCTCAGACCTTCGATTTTCCGTTCAGCCCCGAGGCAAATTGCACTTTTGCCCTCGGACTCAACTTGAGTCCGGTACTTAAGACCGGACTCGAGCTGAGTTTGGGGACTCAGTTTTCAGTCTCAGTGTTTGTGCTTCAGTGCGACTTGCTGCGACATTGTGTACGGAACCAAGATTGCGACTTTGCGACTTTGTGACTTTGCCACTTTGTGTCCGTGTCGAGTTGAGTGAGTGTGTGTGTGTGTGCTCTCACTCCCTCCCTCTCTTCCCCGACCTCACTGCTCTGCCTCAGCCCCATCACAGTCGGGGTCGGCAGTCGGCAGGTATGCAACCCTGCTCTTCGTTTTCTTGCAAGCTTTCCGTCAGAGGTTAGACCTGACACGACAAACACAGTACAAAAACAGACACAGCAATGTTGATTTCTGACGACTTCCAGGCTAGAGGAGCCTGATCTGGACAGGGGGCTAGGAATTCCGCTCAGAATTGTCTGCGTCCCAAAAATCTTTCCTATTAGCTCACAGCAAGGCGGTGAGAAAAACTACATAGGCAATATCATAGACAAGCGATAGTAGCTTAGCGAATAGTGGGTAGTTTAGAACTATGGACTGAGAGGGACAGCTTGGGCTGATTTTTTATTGTTTCTTTAAAGGGGAATAATGGTCAAGTGAGGGTACTCCCGAAAGTTCGGGCTTGACTGATAGTTAATCCTTCCTCATGGAAGCAACCAATGCTGTCACGGTTCCCCACGCCGTAACATGGGAAGCGTTAAAAAAAAAAAAAAAAAGGGAAGCAGGCTGTTCTTCTCTCAACCATCTTAAACTGCCAGTACGAGCCCCCTCCTCCAAAACTTTATGCCATATACAAATGGCCACAATGGCCTGAGATTCTGATATATCAGCCGGGCGGGGACCCGTTCTATTCATTCCGGGGGGGGCCACTGTACTGACACTTTACACTGAAGCAATAGACCAGACTCTTTCCTTGCCGGGTCCCTCCGTACCTTGCCTTTGACTTTTGTCGTTTTCCATCTGAGCTTCCATCCTCCGCTCCATTGCATAATTATTACGGGCACTAATGGCTACTACTGAAGTGTCCTTGCTTTCCTACAATCCAGATGATAAACATATCGACGATGGACCCATGATAACAAAAGGGAAAAATGATCAAAAATCTCAAAACTGGGACTCGTCAAAAATCTCAAAACTGGGACTCGTCAAAAATCTCAAAACTGGGACTCGTCAAAAATCTCAAAACTGGGACTCGTTTTGACTCTTTTGAGTCATTTTGTAACAGTTTAGAACATGATCAAAAATCTCAAAACTGGGACTCGTTTTGACTCTTTTTAGTCATTTTGTAACAGTTTAGAACTTCAGAGACTAAGGCCGATAGAGAGGTTCTGGACGACGGCTGTCGCAGGTTTTCCCCTACTTGGGGTTAAAGAGTGTTCAATAAGGGTAGAAGTTCCGTAAAACTCTAACAACAGGAGTTTTTTTTTTGTTTTGTTTCTTTTTTTGGACCATTTCTCGATTTATGCGTGCCATCCTTGCGCAGGGGCCATGCTTATCTTCTCTGTATCATTCCAATTTTAACGGATGTCCCAAAGGACATAGGAGGCAAATATTAAGTAATCCACTAAAAAAAAAGAAAAACATGTCACAGAGGCAAACAATTGAGGAAAAGGAAAGAAGTTCAAAGAACTTAAAATATATATATATTAAAAAAAACAAAAAAAACAAGCACTTACAAATGCATCTCTATTCGAAATTCTAGACTTCCAGTTCTGAGTTCCACTGCTGTTCAAAGAGGAACAAGAAAGGGACCCAGTTCCGCGTTCCAGTCCGAGTGCCTACAGACGGAGGGTGAGGAGGGTTGCTTAAGTTTCCAGTTTTCTTTCCTCACCAGTTGCCACTCGACCACAATCCCAATTCTTTGAATAGAATGGACCCAATGCCTCGGCAGTGTCTTATTCAAAAATAAAGAAAGGCAGTTCAGAAGGAACAAGTAGGACCCGCCTCGGCTTTTTGTGAGTGGGTACAGCCGTACATGGTAGGAAGTCACCCCCTGAGGGTGGGAGGAAGAGGCAGAACGCAAAGAAGGATGCAGATACTAATGGATATGCGTGTGTCAATTTACCAGAAAACCATCATGCATAGAAACCCATATGTTCAGAGACAGTAAGTCTGTATCTCAACAGTTCTTGTGTCCACAAACGGAGCTAGGCTAGTTTGTACAAAGTGCGCTCTTTTAGTTGACAGATATGTGACAATAAATTGTCACATATGAGATATCTAACAAAAAAAAAGAAGATATGTGACAATATATTGTCACATATCTATGAACTAAAAGAGTGCACATCTTGATATAATAATTCTCCATAATACTAAATTGAGTCAAGTGTTAGGACCTGCCAAACACGGACTGAGACACAGAGCTGATTTCCGAGTTTTGCCAATGGAATGTATGCCTTGCTGAGTTTCCCGCTTGTTGCTGAGTCTGAGAGTTTGAGTGCTTGCTGGTCTGCGTGCCCGTCTGAGTGCTTGTCGGCTTGAGTGTCTGTGTGACCCTGCGGGAGGCCCAAAGGGCCGGTACTTACCTGTGGCTGGGACACTCAGGGTTGCACGGGGGAAAACACTCAAGTAGCGGGGAAAGAGGCCCCCGACACTTGGAGCAGCGGGAAAAAAACACTCAAGTAGCAGGTGGGTCGGTACTACACCAAGTTAGAGGTGGGTGTCCCAGGTACTCGGGGCCAAACAGAAGAAAACGAAAGTTGGCATTTTTAGAGGCCCAGTAGTTGTACGCTAGGTCTAGGCGGGTACCAGTCCAACCAGTCTGAGTCTAGGGCCTGTACGGGCCATATCAGAGTCTGCAATGATGTTTCCCTCCGAAAGGGAGGAGGTACCGGTTGCTTGGAGCCCGCGCGGCCTAGGAAGTCACTCGCCAAGAGGCAAGCAGGCTGCTATATCTCCAGGAAGAGCGAAGCACTCCTCCTCATTGTCGGTGTGCAAGTTTGGCGACATACTGGTTGGAGCAGCGCTGCTGGGGAAGAAGGACCACGAGCGAGGAGGAGGAAGACAAGGACTAAGAAGGGGGAGCACCAAAGGTACTTACCTGGCTATGGTGGTTGCCATCTTCATCACCTTGGTGGGCGCTGCAGCAAGAAGGCCCCCCAGTGGGGTAGAGGTACACCAAGAAGCTTCGAGGCAAAGTCAGGCAAGGCGGCCTGAGCTGGAGCAGCCATAGCTGCTCTGAGTTGTCTTCTGCACATCAGGGCAAGGCCCTAGCAGTCCGCCATAGCCTCGCCCTTCAAGAAGAGGAAGGAGGAGGGTGGACATGGCTATGGTAGGTATGGCGGCCTGAGCTGGAGCAGCCATAGCTGCTCTGAGTTGTCTTCTGCATATCAGGGCAAGGCCCTTGCAGTCCGCCATAGCCTCGGCCTTCAGGAAGAGGAAGGAAGTGGGTGGCCATGGCTACGGTGGACCTCATGTTGTACCTGCAGTAGAAGAGGGATTCGGACTTTGATTCTGGTTCAGCCATTCAACATTATTATTGTTATTTCTTGTTTGAAGAAGAGGGGAGGAGACAAGGAGGAGGAGAGTGGTTGGTGAAGAAGAAGAGAATTATCATTGGTCTTTTGCTGGTATACATCCTCTTCTTCTTCTTCTTCTTCTTTCCCTATCTCTTCTCTCAAGTTTATTCATTTCTTTTTGCAATTGGACGGCATTGCCATAACAAGTGCTCTCCGAACCAGGCAACTTGAGTTGGAGAGCCGTGTGATGGGCGACTGCAAAACAAACGACAATTAAAAAAAAAAAAAACAAGACCAACATGAGGGGCACACTGAAACCTTTCATTTTTCTCATTCTTCTTTTAACTCCCCCTTCACCGTGCATCTCGCGTACAAGGCTCGCCACGTTGATGAAGTTGAGTGCAAGCTCCCCGCATCCCCGTGCGCCATAACAGCCATAGACCATTTGACAATATATAGATATCAATGTATATAAAATTCCGATGAAACAGTCTGTCACAGGCTCTCGTTTGATGTTCTCTTCTCCCTCTTGGCCTACACTTCAGAGAAAGAAAAACACAAAACAACGAAGTGCACGTTGGAGCAGGAAACGAAAAGGCGCAAACGACAAAGCGCAGGAACGAACACGTGATGAAAGCGACCATGGTAAAAAGAAGTGACGAGACCTGGAAAAAACAAAACAAAAAAAAAAAAAAACATAAGAAGAATGCAAAACAAAAAAAGCACGGCAGAACAAACACGCGATCAAGGTAAGCTTTGGCAACAACGAATGGGGGATGACAAATGCCATGCACACATGACCCATCTTACGCTTCAGGAGTGTGCAGAAAAAAAAATGGAATGCCCAAAAAAAAGGACAAACTGCCCGCCAACCTGTTCTCTGGACACAACCTGGGCCCAAACAGTACCGTGGTGTCTTCCAGGATGGCATCATGCGAGAGCAGCGAGACCCATCTTATGCTTTGACAAGAAAAAAGCAAAACGCAGACTCCCCCCACGACAGCCACATACCTCGCACAGCATGCTGTCCCACGCAGTGCCAGCTGTCCCGTGGGCCTGTTACGCAAGACCCGGGCTAACTTTTATAAAGAGTATAGACTCTATAGAGAATTTAGATAGACATAATAAATTAATAATTATATTGGTAACAATAAGTTCAATAATTATTATAACGATAATAATAAAATGAAGTGCCCCAAAAAACTTGAAAAAAGTAAATAACTCACCATGTCAACATGAATGATGACGCGCCCATCGATATGACCGCTTATCTGACCAGCTCTTGCCGGTGCCATCGGCTCTGGTCCTCGTTCCACACCAGCTTTCTGGTTCGCTGGCTTTTCTTCTCCATTCTCCTCTCTCTCGGTCGGTTCGCGATAGCGATTCCGCCATGTGCCAATAAAATGCAAACGGGAATTCTGAAGCAGCGTGGTCCAACAGCGCAACAGAGCTCTCCAATAATTAAAGTATGCGCAACAGAGCTCTCCAATAATTAAAGTATGCCATTGTATAATTGCATGCTATTTGACTCCAATGATTTGCTGAACAGACGTGACATGACTGACAAACCTTCCCAGTAAATTTCTGTGGGCCCAAGAGTGAATTTCTGTGGGCCCTCAGTTAAAAGACCAACCGTCCCAACTTCTGCAGGCTCACAGTGAATTCCTTCATGTGCATGTGGTTTGTCAATTTCACCTGCTTCTGAGCTTTCTAGTTCGAAAGAATCAAAACACAAAAAAATTGGGATATATACTATTACAGAGTTATAAACTTGGTACTCTGTCCGCATCAAAAAGGCGTTCGCGGACATAGGCAATATGATGTGGAGTGAGCAAACTGAAAAAGTTCCCATGCTTCGTGTGCAGATGCCACACAACACAGTGGAAAACAAATTAAAAATTCCTAAAAATCACTTAAAAAAAATGATCAAAATAATTTCATCTGGGCCTTCGGATCGGAGGGTATATGTGTTGCTCTGAGAGGTTTGGCCGAAGTAATGCCGTGAGAGCGTGAAAAAGTCGATAGCGATAATTCAAGAAAGCCCTGAAAAGAAAAACAACAATAACTTATGAGGTTAATATGAGCATATTTTCTGTGGAACGAGGTGGTTCGAACCTGGACGGTGAAGCAAGTATAGAGTTAAAGAGGGGAAACCTTTTCTGCAAACAAGGTCATGATGTATGCGAAGGAGAATATGAGGCTCGCAATTCAGGTAGAATAACACCCAGCGTGTGGGATTATCCCCCCCGAGATGGGCCCTACCGTAGTCTAAGTTCGCTCTGTGTGGACTCTCGTACAGGTGCCATAGTGATGGGAAACATGCTAGCTGTACCCAGGCTCGACCATGGCACCCCCACGAACTATTACATACAGGCGAGACTGACAGATCGGAGGTTCCAAGTGGCCACACAGAGGTATCAACGATTTCAACAATTTTGGCAGTTTTGTGGTTATCGACAGTCTCGGCAGTTTTTCGGTTATCAACAGTCTAGGCAGTAAACCCTCCCCCTTTTAATCTACCCTAACCTATCCCTTACCCCCCCCGGCCCATGGTGGAGCCAAGATAAGACACTGATCCTCATACCCCCTAAGACCAAGCACTCAAGCACCCCTCCCTGTGGCCCTATCCAGCATACTACAACCATGGACCTAGACCCCTTGGGTGGTGCGCAGACAGTGTCTGTATAAATCTTACCATGTGTCGTCCCAAGGGGGGGGGGGTTGAATGGCTTGTGCGTTATAAAAGCGCTTACCGGGGTATGTGCGCGAGGCAACTGAGTTTTGAACCCGCAACCTCGTACCACAATGCACATTTCCAACTGGTGCATTCATTCATTTCCCCATAACGGATTTGATTTTATCCATGTTCTTCCACGTCTCCTATTCGATCGTCAGTCTCCCCATCCAGCTCAAGGGTTTTGTGACTTTCTTCCATCACATACCTGGAGAACTGTGCAGCACGGAGAGAGTGTTCACGGGCTTCACGGACATAAGAACATGTTCTCGTGTACTCTCGAATACGTACTCCTATATGTGGGAGAATGTATTTTACTATTTTCTTTTGAAGGTTTTCTTTTTTCTTGGTTTACGATTTTCAACTCGCGTTTGGCTGAGAATTTGGAGATGCCACCTGGGCAAAAGTTGTTTGTAATACTTGTATTAACAGTATTTAAGAGTATTATTAATTATTTCAATAATTTACATAACATATATTTTTTCCAGTTTTTTTTTTTTTTTTAATGTTCGCGTTCTCCAGAACTCCACATTATGTACGTGTTCTCCCCCCATACGCGAATGGGGCGCTATACTGCTGGAAAAGTAGTAGAGCTCAATTCAGCCACAACTGTTTTCTGTAACTTTGTCCAGAATGTATACCTTGTAATAGTTCTGAATGAAATTGGGGTCACTTTGAGTTGAATGACTTGTCTTGGGATCAGGAATCTTCCCACTTGATCGCTGCACGGATGGTTCAGGAGGTACCAAGGGCGGTCCCCTTTGTCCTGCAGCTGTACCGGTTCCACCTGTGCTACCAATGGCTCCTTTCGTTTCCTCTTCTTGATTTCCAATCAAATCATCGCTGCCCCCTCCGTTCCCTCTCTCCTCACCGGCACGCACTGCTCCTTTGTCATTCCGCTGGACATCTTCGCCAAACATGGTCCGTCCGTCCACATGCCCAATAGCACAGCTGTTTTCCCCAGCACCCATTAACACCGTCCTTGAATCAAATAGTCCCTGCTCAGCTTCCTTCAACAAAGGTCCTTTCCCATTTGCAGCAGCACAGCCAAGTGGTTGTTCTGCCTCGCTCATGCCAGAGGGCACAGAGACAGCACCGCCATGCCACCCGTCTAACATCTCTGCTGGCTTCTCGATCAACAAACCCCTTGAACTCGAGTCTGACGATCCAAGAGGCACTGATTGCTCTACAAGTCTGCACATGTCGGCAGTCCCCTGTCTCGGGAAATGCCTAGCATCATCACACACAGTAACTCGCTCACCATCCTTGTATCGGTTCCATCCATTCAGAGACTGTTCCGCACTGCGCTGAGGACAGGATGGTGTCGGCCAGATCTCACCGACAACTTTCTCCAATTTCTCCCCATGGGACATCTGAAGCGAACTGTGCGTGGCCATGGTCCCTGGTTGACCCCGCACAGCTGTCGTTGTTGAGCCATTTGGAAACAACGAGCGAATTGCAGAATCATCTGGAGATGAACCACACGCAGCCGTCAGCTGACGAGGTCCATCATGCACTGAACTTGGAACCGAAAGCTTGTCTTGAACTGATGATATGCTTGTCAGAGGTCCATCGACAGACAGACGCCCATTTTGGAGGCCAGTTTGTAATTGGGGGGGTTTCATTGCAAGAAGATGGCCTTCTAAAACGGAAAGGTCGACCATCCGCGCTGCATCTTGCTTCGCCTGCACCTCGTCAGGAATACTGCATGCAGCAGCAACAGAATGGCAGAGAGGGTCATTCTGCATTCCTGTCATAATCACTGAGCTGGATGGGGGTCTACCGTCCGAAGCTGCAGCACCAGTCAGTCCTGTATCTGCTGTGCTGCTGGGACATGCTTCCCAGCTGCTGCCAACTGCTTGGGGCTGTTCCGAATGTCCCACCTCCTCAACTCTAGGCCAACCACTGCCAAGTGGTGTCCTTGGGATGATGGACTCCGTAAGTGTTCGTTGCCCAGGGTGAGCAAACAGCAGGCGTTGTAACTGGTATGAGCCATCTGAAGAAGAAAAACAAACCGGGAAAACAAAGACCTGATGTATGTCAGAATAAAGAGTAAGCGTCCTTCGGGACATCCGTTAATATTGGAACGATACAGAGAAGAAAGGGTAGCATGGCCCCTGCACAAGGATGACACGCATAAATCGAGAAATGCTCCAAATTTCAACCAAAAAAAAAAAAAAAAAAAAAAAAAGAATCAAGCATAAGTACTAAGTTACTACTAACTGACCAGCAAGATGCATGGGAGTTGTCTCAAGTTCTCTCAATGTTGATGCAGTATTATGACAGTATCCAAAAAAGTAAACAAGACGATTGGTCTATCTGTGTTTTTCTTCTCTTTTTTTCCCCTCTTTTTATAAGTTTTTAAAAAGGTTGTGCAGGCTGAGGTATAGGCAGACCCTACCCTGGCGGCCAGTGCTTTTAATCAAACTCCCACAACACACCCAGGGCAGAGCGGGCCATTCCAAGCCATGTCGGATTATACCCTCTGATACAGAAAGTGCATGATAATCCCTCAGCCGCCAAGATCGGGAAACCAAAAGAGCGCACACCACCACAAAGGAAAAGCGACAGATTACCAAAAATGCACATAGCATGACAGCACACACCATCATGAAGAACCCTGCTCTGTACCTTAGGGCTACTGTGGCACTGCCCTGAAAATTTGAAAAATGAAAAAAAAAGAGAGGATTCAGTTTTACAACTCAGGATGTGTAGTGTCCCCTTTTTCTTTTTTTTTGTATGACGAAAGCCAGTTAGTTCTAGAATCTAGACTGAAGAGAAGGCAGGTGCAATGGAAGAAGAGAGAACGTGCATTGCTGGACGAATGCAGTGGACGAAGGATTTTTCATTCCTGTTGGGCAGCAACTTGGGCTAGCTCTGTTGGACTTCCTGCAACCTTTGCCCCATTAAACAGGGTAGTGCACAATGACATCGTCATCAATACACGAAACATAAATGCACCTAGTGATAAAATGGGGAAGGAGGGAAGTCGAGTTTGGGTGTTCCGTGGAGATAAGGAGAACTCCCCAATAACACTAATCTTTGTGAGTTAGTATGTGTTTGGAAAGCCAGGGCGCAAAAGACGTATGTAGTAGACAGATCCGGAAGGTGGAAAGTGACGGGGGTGTACGGCGAGTGGGTAGCTTTGCATGGGAGGACTAAGGCTGATGGGCAATCAACAATGCCCCAGGTGGGCCAAGATAGAGGGGAAAACACCTGGCAAGAGCCCCCTTGGGGTGGAAACAACCCATGTAAAGAGGACAAGTGGAAAAGGCAAGGATTAGGAGAGCCATGATTACTTAAATGCAGGGAGTTGGAGGGGGAGGGTGGATGGATTGACTGAGAGGGGAGCTATGTGCGGCAGGTAGAGAGATGAAGGGAGGTAAGCCATTTGGGAGGAATGTCGTGAAAATCACGATTGAAGGAGGGGAGAAAACTGAAAATGATGACAGGCCAACCGGCACAGGTGGTTAATCCCCCTACTCCAGTGATGAAAAGTTGTGTGGGGAGTGCTATGTCCCACATAAATGGGGAGAAATCAATTGAGGGCACAGGAGAGCACCGCATCCCACATGCCTCCAAAGCGATGGAAGGTCAGGAGTCACATCTTGTTTGGTTCGCTTTGACCAGTGGGAGATGGCGAGGATTGGGAAAAGAAGAGAAAAGGTTAACCGAGCCCCCCGAAACCCTAATTTCAGGATCATTCATCGTTACCCAGGGCCGAAAAGTGGGGGTCCCCGTTAACCACTTGTGGAAAAGAAAAGAAAAGAAACGAAGAAACTCAGCATCTGTTTATTAGCAGTTCAATGCGTGTCACATTCAGCCGCATGGGTAGGGTGATGTCAGGAAAGTTCATAACAGAACATAGCAAGCATAGCAAACATTCCTTGCCCTTTCGCACATGCTGCAGTTCGCTTCTTTCAATTTGTTGAGATTGATCTGCCGGCATTGGTCGTCTTTGACATGAAGAAAACCACCACTCTGAAATTTTGACATCATTGCACCAGATTGAGAAGAGTCAGAAAGGGAAGGAGGGGAGGACAGGTTTGCAACTTTGCAATTAGAAAGAAAAAAAAAAAAACAGCAATAGAGTATTAGTCTATTAGATCAGATCGGAGTTGTCTCAAGAAAATGAACTTACATGGCAACAATTTCCCCGCAGCAATTGAATCAGTGACCCACTCAGGGCGTACCACAGGCGGGGGGTTCTTCTCCGACCTGATCAGCATGGGAGACGGTGGAGAGATTAAAAAAAGAAATGTTATAAAGATTATAGAGCAATCAATTGGAAAAAAGAAAAACGGATCCAGAACAGAAAATTCAAAATCTGAAGTTGCCCAGACTTGCCACAGCATTCATTATGGGTAGGACAAGCCCTTCTGTGCTCTTAAAAAGCGGTTAAACCCCACCAGTCCCAACTGCAAGGAACCTATCCGTTCGTCACTTGCTGGAGTGTATCAAATAACATGCATGTAACACATATCTCACAGATTTGCAATGTCTCACACAAAGTTCAATGGAAGACGAGTGGAAACCAGGAAGCGCAACTCGATTATCACAACCAGATTAAGGAAAGAGAATCACGAGTTCAAAATGTAAAGCGCCCAACAATATTACAAGTCTTCTTCATCCAATAAGAGTTTCAAGCCTGGCGCTCATCAGCGCCAGCAGCCAATCATCAAGAACGGCGCTCAGCAGGTAAGTTCCATCATAGCTCACTTCTCTCTATTTTCCTCTTCTGTTCTCTCTCTCTCTCTCTCAATGTCTATAGCCCTGGTTTACTCACACTCACCATGCACGCACACTCCCTATCACACGAGGATCTACTCTGAATACTACTCACTGGTCTTCTCTACTAACTATTTCTACAACTATTACTAACTGGCGCTGGCGCAGCTATGGCTACTCTTCTTCCAGCCAGTGCCCAACTCTCTCTCTCCATCCAGCGCAGCTCTCAAGCTTGCGCAGCTCAATCACATCTTGCGCACAAGTGCCTCAGCACTTCCACACTCTCATGCGAACGAGTATCTGTCCAAATGGGAGGCTGACTAGTCCTTTATAGTGCTGGACTGGTCTGGTGTGGTCTGCTTCCAGCCTCCAAGTGCCTGGGACTCCCACCCAGTACCTGTTGTTGCAAAGTGTGTGTCCCAGTATCGTTTCCCATGGTCTGCTGCTGCTTTGGCCGACGGGCCAGTCTTTTGGACTCCAGGTCTGAATCAGATTTGACACTTGCGACTGTGACTCGTCTGGGACTGTGACCTTTGACTTATCGCCGAACAGACATGACCCAGTCTCAGCCTTAAAATTGAGCCCAGTACCTGTTCATCGAGGACCTGACTGTGACTTTTCAAAACGACTTTTCATTTCACTCTGGATGCGATATTTGCTACAAGGGACTTGTCCTTTGGAAGGCTGCTCGTGAAATGGAGTTCTGGCCGAGAGGGCTCCTTTTATGTTGGGGTCACATTTAGGGGTCTGAATCGTAAAGGCCCTTTTACAACAAACTATTTGTAAGAACGAACCAAAAAAAAAAAAAAAAAAAACATGACCCCCCGAGCGTGCCCAGCATGAAAAGTCACTCCTACTTGGGTGACAACGACTTTGATCGAAATATGCATTCAGTTGGGCTCCCAAGAAAGTCCAGAAGCTACCGGACCGACAAAATGTTTGCAGCAGACAGGCCGCGGCCGACTGGTACCGGTCTGAAGCAGCCCAAGCCAAGCCAAGCCAAGCCAAGCCCAGCGAAGCCAAGTCCTATATTTAGCTGCTACAGTGCAGCGACTCGTCACTTGTTCAGTTGCGAGATGCAGAAGCGCTGTTGCTGCTTGTGCGCTAAGGCAACTTGGGCACTGTGCGCACGAAGAGGAAGAGGGCGCTTGAGAGATACTCCACAGCTAGGCTATCGGTAGAGCAGGAGGACGGCGGCCATAGCCGTGAAGGTGTAAGCTACCTGGGTGGGTGTATCCAGGGTAACGATCGAGGGTAGAGAGAGTGAGGCAGAGCGAGTCAAGTCAGAGAGAGAGAGAGAAGAGCGGAGAAGCCATAGCCGCTATCTGGTTGAGATCCGTTGTGCGTGAGTGTGCGGCAGAGCCACTCGAGACAAACATTCTTGTAGATTGATAATAATATTGGAGACGGCATCTTCAAGTGTTGATTGTATCTCGATTTGGCTTCTCACACTCTCATGTGAATGTTCATTGATGTACGCGAGGTTGAACTTGACGAGTGCTTGGCTCATTTCAGCATTCTCTGTATCACTCTGACCCTAACAGAACAGCTGAAGGACAATCTTGCACCTGCAAAACTTCTATAATGACAGCTGGTCTAAGGGAGGGCTGGGCAATCTACTCAGCAGCAGCGTAGTCACGCTACTCTACAAAAAGGGCGAGAAAAACAACATCAAGAACTACAGGCCTATTTCACTTCTGACCCTCCCATACAAGATCCTAGCTAAGACCCTGTCCAACCGGATTACTAAGATCACCAACAAATGCTTCCACATCGACCAAACAGGATTCATCCCAGGCCGTTATATTCTAGACAATGTTATGACACTGAATGAGTCGGTAAGAAAAATCAGGGAAAGGAAAATAAACACCGCCATTCTCTTCTTTGATTTCAAAAAGGCTTATGATCAAGTTAATTGGGACTTCATGGAAGCAAGCATGGAAAGAATGGGAGTTGGACCAAACTTCAGAAAATGGGTTAGGATACTATACAAAGATGCAGTAGGTTGTGTCCAAGTGAATGGGTTACTGTCAGATTGCTATCCAATTTCCCGTTCGGTCCGTCAAGGGGACCCGTTGGCCCCATCAATCTTTCTATTCGTAATGGAGGCTATCGCATCCTTCCTGCGCAAAGATCCATCAATTCAAAGACTAGCTAGTACCGATGTAGGCTCAACCCACCAGATGGATTTTCCCACAGCTATCATGTTCGCAGATGATCTAACGGTCCTAATCAGAGCGTCAGACTCTTCCTTCAGAACACTAGCTAAGGCAATGGAGGCATTCAGACTAGCCTCAGAGATGAGGATCAACTGGGGGAAAACAATCGGCTGGTGGCTTTCCAAAGATGAGCCCCTTTCATTACAAGGAGATGAGGCGGCTATGACATGGCAAACGCCGACACACCCACTCGCTATCTGGGCATTCTAATGACGAAAGAAGGACTAGCACCCCAAATGGGCCCCTCCATGCTGGCCAAACAGATCAATGAAATTGGAAGGTGGGGCAATACCTTCACTTCCCTTATTGGTCGAGCGTTGGTCCTCAACACGTCAGTCTTTTCAATGATGTGGTACATAGCTTCTATTTGGACAATCCCCGACAACTCCGATAGCCTGGCATTACCTGTGGACAGGTGACCCCAACAGAGACAAGTGCATATCCAAGATAGCTTGGCATTTTGTCACAAGGAGCCCACGAAATGGAGGCCTAGGAATTATTGACCCCGGAACAGAAACGAAAGCGCTGCAAATCAAATGGATCATCAAACTACTGATGAAACCGAACAGCCCCTGGAACAAATTAGCTCTGGACAGTATCAGAGCCATATCCCCAGTAACCTCTCCGAATGACATGTCAGGCCTCTTTTGGGTAATGAATAAAGAATGGGTGATAACTACAGGACGAAGGAATCGAACAAGGAATAGTAGATCAGAGGACTATCGTCCGCCCACGCCTTACTGGCCGGCTCTGCTTCGTTCGTGGAGAAAAATAATTCCTAACAAGACAAAGAGACCTAAATCCAAGGACGAAATACTAAGGCAACCGCTCTTCGGTAATGAATGGTTAACAAACGAGGCTGACAACCCACTCTTCCTTGAACAAAGATGGATGTCTTGGGTCAAGAATGGCATCTGGAAAGTAGATCACTTGTGGAAAGAGGACAGAAAAGACTGGATAACGGAACAAGAAATTAGTGCCAGACTGAAAGGTTGTCATAGACGAGGGATCAATCTCCAATATATTCTTAGTCGTGTTCCACAGGAGTGGAAAGACATCCTAGTAAAAGACGAACCCTGGAGTCCGGGCGATTGGGGTCTGATGATTCAAGACTTAACCCCCACTAGAGCCTATCAATTCTCCCATATGCAGCAAGGCTCACACACCAGTGCTACTTTCATCTCCTTCCCGATCTCCTACACCAATACGGATATGCCAGCTATCTGGAACTGCGATGTAGAATCATCTGTATTAGACTCMTTCCTCCTCAGAAAAGTAAGAGTCGTAGGCACATGGCCAAAATCAATCTTCAGACCGGACACTGCTATCCGGTTCTTGGAGTTCGACCCTGCCGAATGGGCATGGAAGCCAAATATTACCAGTAACATCAAGACAAAAATCCCAATCC